ACATAAAGCTACTGTGGCACTGCGTCTACTACAAAACTTTTAAGTTTTACTTTTAACTAAGATATGTGTGGTGTAGCCCTGTCAGTCTGTCAGTCTCACTCTAAACTCTAAGAGTGTTTTGTTTTTTTCTGACAGATCATCTTTGTATGTAGCCTACATTGTAGGCCTATAGCAACTAGATCTAGCAAGTAATGTGGGCCTTGCCCTAAGTTAAGGACTTAGTAAGCCAGCAAGTGTGTAAGCTCAGTGAGTAAGGCGAGTAAGGCCTACTGCCTACCTACAGCAGCTTAGATTTAGAAGAATGGCTTAGAAAATAAATTAGTAAATAAAATCAAAGTGTCTACTCGGAATAAGATTTTTCGGCAAAAGATAGTTCTGCGCATGCGCAGTGACCTATCGCTAGGGTTAGGGCTAGAATGAGGGTTAGGGGTAGGATTAGGGATAGGGTTAGGGATAGGATTAGGGCTAGGGTTAGGGATAGGATTAGGGCTAGGGTTAGGATTAGGGCTAGGGATAGGATTAGGGATAGGGTTAAGGATAGGATTAGGGTTGGTATTAGGGTTCTGCGGTTGTAAACACACGCATGCGCAGTACCATCGAAAACATCGCCGCTAAGGCAAGTCGTGGTTTCTCTCCAGTGCGCATGCGTATCGCATGCGTATCTTATTCCGACTAGAATCGGCCAAATAAAATTAGGCCCTAGATCTACTTAAAATTAGGGTTAATTGCTTATACCAGTCTCCGGGATTTGACTACATCCGGCATCGGCCAATGAAATACGCGCTTTCTAAGCGTTTTGGTAAGGCGTGACGTCATCAGCGCGGTGTGTCAAAACTGCGGTTTTGAAGCCTAAATTTAATTTATAGTTCAAATCGCAACGCGTTTTTTCAAAATGAGGGAAAAATGACCCTTTTTAAAAATGGAGATAGTCGTTTTTTTCAATGATGACGCCACAAAATCTCAAAATATTGCCGTCCGAAAAAGCAATCATTGTTAAATATTTGCCTTTTCGTGCATTAATATTTTGTCAAGTCTACCAAAACGCTTATAAAGTGCGTGTTTCATCGGCCGATGCCGAAAGTATGTAAATAATACAAAGAAAACAGACAATAAATTTATTTTGATCATATTTTATTGCGTATTGTAGTAAAGCAAGCAAACAAAGTTGTCAACAGCACACCGCAGAGAGTTGCGCGGCACGTGTTCCAAATTAGGTCAAAGCACGGATCTAGGCTAGCCCGCGCAGCTAAATGCCAAAATATAATTTCTTAACGTAAAGTACGGTAAAGCGACAAAGCAACGTTAACTTTATAGACACGGGTGTTAAATGGCTGTCCCTGCAGGGTTTTAAATTTGCATTATCTAGAACGTGGGGATATTGGTAGATCTGTTATTTATTTTCAACTGTAACCGATCGATGGCTAAGTGGTCAAGGCGGGAAAATGAGGTCACGTGATGTCTCAAAAGTTTAGATGGACACCCGACATCTAAATCTAGTATTTCGATGAAAAGCGGCTTAGCGGCTGAATTTATTGATTAAACGCTTTGATGGAGGTATAGATAATAGATAATTAATAAAAAGAAAAAAAATATCCTACTTACAAAATACGACATCATATCCATGCAGAAAAAATTATTCCAACGCCATTTATGAATATTAATTAGATCTGCAATTTTATCACCACATGACCCTCGAAGGCTCAGACGTGTAGGTCTAGGGCTCTAGGTGTAACACACATTCGGCCCGGGATGTTAATAGTAATAATATATTTTATTGGTTTGGGGCCTATGCCTAATTAGTTGGCCCTGACATAAGGATAACCTATTTAAAATATTATTTGTAAATGAAAGTGGGTAAGGGTTAAGAAAATGTGAACACATTTTGTTTTATGTATGGCTATACGTTTAACAAGAAACATGTTTGAAAAGGAGGGCATTTATTTTTAAAATTTGATGAGTGCTGTGCGTTTTTTATTCTCACCTACTTAAAGTGACGTAAGCAAATTTGCATATGGCCTTGACCTTGTACTGCTTTGTAAAGATTCTCAAGCACCAAAAAAGGCCTGATTTATGTTATTAATACAAAAAAAGAAAATACATGGACATATTTATAACCACGATTATCTACGCGGTCAAACGATTTTTGTTACATTTTATTGGGATTGGAATTTAATAATCAATATACACGCAGTGGTCATGGAAAGTTTAAAAGATGTCACTTTTTTGACGAAGTTTACCTCCTCCTCCCCACAGTTTACAATAAAAATAGCGACCCCCCCCCACCCCCCGTCTCTGAAATGTGACGATGTTTATGGACGATTCCTATGTCCCACGTAGAAGGGGGGGGGGGGGAATTAGTAAAATATATGTATGTTCTATAAAGTATTATAGATCGTTGTCTATTATGTTCGGGTCGGGGAGGGGTGGTAGGCTGTTTAAAAAATAATACTGTTTACAAATATCTCAGACCTGGCCACGCTTGGTGTGGGGGGGGGGGGGGGGGGGGGGGGGGGGGGGGGTGTGTGTATCCAACCCCCCCCCCCCCACAAAGTACAGAATAAAAATTACCCCTCCCCCCCCCCCCACAAAGTACAGAATAAAAATTAAATGTTGACCATTGTAAATAATCACTGGATTAACATAATTAATTAATTTGGTCATGATAATATTTAAGTTTAAGAAGTCTTTTCAAGACAAAAAAAAACTTTAAAAAAAAACACCTTATAATATAAACGAACCCACAAGTGCATTAACGAAGTAATTAGCATAATTAACATATTGTAATTAAGCTAATTAATTAATTAGCACTAATGATAATGAAGGGAGATAGTTTTTTTTTTGTTATGGCACCTCTCCAAATCTTATTATTTTCATAATCACTATGCAAAAAGTATTTATGTTACAAAAACTACACATCTCTGTTCTCTCGGTGCCTAGCGCGACCTATTTAGGCCAAAGTGAGTTTGTTTATGTTGACGTTTTATTTTTAGACTTCACGGTACAACGCAGATCATTGGCCGGAAGAACATATTGTCAGACACTGGTATAAGTAATCATCGAAAATTAGATTTTAGGAGATAGAATAAAACAACAAGGCAAATTCAAACTGTAATCTAATAACTAATATCTTGTAGGCCTATATGAAATAGATCTAGATCTTGTTAAGATCTAGATCTAGAAATCTAGATCTCTAGGCCGAATTCTAAGAAGACTGCTGAAAAATTAAAATTATTGAAAAGCGAAAGTTTATTTTTTTCCATGTTTTTTGTTTACTTGCCTGTAAAATGCCAACTAACTGAGATGTTTTGTAATCGTTCAGTACAACAGCATGTTTATATTTAAATGAAAATAAGCTTACCTGTCTTGCCTCGGTCATTATGTCTAATTGCACAAATCGGTGAGATTACAAAATCAAAACGTGTAGGCTTTTTTTGTAATGAAATGTTGAAAGTTGAATTTCTGAAGGAAGATGAATCATACAATGCCTCTTTGCGGAAGTAATCAAACAACCGCCATAAATCGCCACAACAAACGAAAATTTCCGAAATATTAAAATTAAACAGATGTAAACAACACTGATACTAATGACGTCATTTCAGTATTAATTATTGCCAGATTGTAATTTTTGTACATGTGAAAAGACTGTTTATATTGGCTTTGTGCGGGGACCTAGCGAGATAGTGTGATAGTGTTCCATCCCACATTTGCATTGTAGGAACATCTTTATCTGTCGAAGTCGTCAGTCTGTTTCCGCATCTAAATGATATTCGTCTTCATATTTCCAGAGTTAGTGTTGTCTTAGTATTACGAAGGGCTGTGCGGAGTCAAAGGGCTACATAAATGACGTCACAATCACAGGTAATTTTGTGACAATGTGTGATGAAGGAAAGGGGGGGGGGGGTCAGATAGTGTGACGTCACTTTTTAAAAAGTAATGTTGGAAACTCAATTTTAGCCGTTATATTTCACGTTTTATAAAACTGTTTTAATAAAAATTAAAATGCAATAGACATTGGTTAAGTACTCGCTATGTTGACCGAGCTCAGTCAATATTTGTAATTATAGAAATAAATCGATGTTTGAAAAAATGCATTGTAATTTTGAGGAGAGTTGTAGGTTGGAGTGTGACGTCATTTTTTGTGGGGGGGGGGGTCTGGCTTATTGTTGTGACGATATGTGATAAAGTAGAGGGGGGGGGGGGTAAACATAAAAAAAGCGTGACGTTATTTATTACCTCAAAGTTAAAAGTGTCTGAAATATTGGTATAATGCCGTAAATACTGTTTAGAGATTGTCCATAAACGACTTCACACTACCAGTAAGGGAATCGGATATAATATTTTAGATAGAATTCGCTGTTTGTTTTTTTAATCAATTTTGGGGAGGTGGGGTAGGTCTAGGTTGGAGGTCATTATAGAGGGGGTCTGAATTTGTGTGAGGTAAAAATCGAAGTAGCTTGACGAAGAATTTAGTATTCTTTTACTCTTTTTATGAACGTAATTTTTTTTTTACAACTTGCACAGAGCGCCTCCAATAGCGACCGTCCGAATCTTTCATCGTTAGCACTCCTATCCCCCAACCAACCACTTTCGATTTGCACCCGCCCCCCCCCCCCCCTCATGATTTCGATTTGCACTCCCCCCCCCCCCCCTCAAACTTTCGATTTGCACCCCCTCGACCTTTCAATTTATTTTTCCAACCCATTTTGGCGCCCCCTAAGGTCGGCACACGGGGACATATGCCCCCCCCCCCCTCGTTACGCTACTGCTATACATTAAACGATTTTTTTTTTAAATTGGATTTATTTTAAGGCCTACTGAGCATTATAGCTTTATTTGTCTACATAAATGCCATTTTTCGTAAAAGGCACAACTTTATGACTATAAATTTAAATTAAAAGGGTGTTTTTAAAAAAAAAAACTTTAAATAGTTTAGGCTGTATTTATTTAGCGGCAGCTTTTTAGCCCATCGAGTATTTCTTGGCAATAAATCTGGTATAGTCTGTCCGGGACTAGCTGAAACCGTTACGCCATCTTGGTTTTAGGCGATCATAGATCGCTTGGTTTTACAGGGTGCTAGCGTTCATACGAGCGCGTTAGGGTACAGTTGTACCCACCATATTCTTTTACTTCACACAACTACTTTGCCATCTGATTGTTTATAATAATTTGTTCATAAAGAACTATACATTTTTTTTATTTGGGTGGTCAACATGGCATTCTAAAAATGATGTCTCAACTTTGCGTACAACCCAACTCTGCACTGCAGACAGATTTGGTCTCAGACCCTTCTTTTTATTGTATTGTTGATGTTAAACGAAGGCAGTGGTGCAATGGACAAAAAACTTCAGCTCCGTTCATCACCTGTTCAGCCTAAAAATAATGGTGTCATCGCTGAAAAAAAAAGTGGTGAGTCAAAAGTAAAGCCCTCCCCACCCACTCTCGCAGATCTACAATAAAAAATATATAGATCTAGATTTCACAACAAAGACGGTCACTAGCCTCAGAACACTTAAAGTTTAAAGAATAAAATTAAAGGGTAAAACTCCATTTTAGCGTATTTTATTCCCTGCTTCACGTTCACCTCCAGTTGGGCGTATTTTATTTATTATCAACACAACCAAAACTGTCAAAACACAAAAATGTTAGGAAAACACTTGGCCTATGAACTTTTGTTTTGATTTTCGATCATTTACTTTTGTCAAAACTTGAGAAAAATTCAAATTTGGAATAACCTGGAATATTGAATGTGCACTAGAATCTAGATTTAGCTTATTTTTCTCTTAAAACTAGGTTCGTGTCATTTAAGGAAAAACTCATAAATGCAAGTCTGTTAAGTTTGTATTGTTAAAAATGTCACGCACTCATCTATATAGATCTATATAATTCTCTTCTGGGAGACGTTAGAAAACAAGCTGCAAGCGCGCCTTGCAGTCCCCCCTCTTCCTCACTATCACTACCACCTCCACCCACACTAAATGTTTACAAATCGTAGAGCCGGGTTTAGTGACGGCTATTAGGGGCAGATAATTTAGTTTGAGACGATTTTAAACTTACAGGAGGTAACTAAGAGGAGGCTGCTTTCACGGGGGGGGGGTGTAGGGTAGGAAAGGGGGGGGGTTAGTGTTTTAAAGCAAATATTTTCAGTGGCAGCATTGGTACTGTCGAATTCACAAATTATGAATTACTGAAAAGTAGAAAATAAAACAACTAAATAGAGGCATATGATACGCCGCGGGTCGGCTCGTGATACTACAAATAACTCACAATGGCCCTAAGCTAATGACGTATGCTTATAAATAAAGTCAATGTGAACTCACGGTGAACCCTTCACCATGTTGGGATTTTTCTACCGCCGACGATCACACGCTTTTTAATTGCAACTGTGATGCTTATTTATAATCTTTTTTTACCTTTTCTAATTAAAGCACACAATCATAAAAAATCAGTAGATCCATATCTATCATCTAATCCTAGTGTTTTCATAATGTTTTTGTGTTTTTTGATTTTGTGTTTATAACAAAATACGCTCAACCGGAGGTGAACGTGAAGCGGCTAATAATACGTTAAAACGGAGTATTACTGAATAAAGATACTATTATCAAAATAGTAACACACAGGTCCAACACTACATACAACACCCTACGAACTACATTTTCTTGTCGCTGATCTAGATGTAGTTATTTGATTATATGTCTAAAGTTAAAGTAATTTATTCTACAATGTCAATACAGCCACAATAAACAAAATTTCAAAATTCTAGACTATTTAAAGGCCTACTAAGCATACTATAGTCATAGACTTACTTGAGTAGATTACTAATGTAGATCAAAATACTAGGCTTATTAAATTAATAGGCTAGATATAGGCCTACAAAATATTGAACATCGTGACTGTTTAAATTGGCTAATATAAGCCAATTTAGGCCTGAATAATTTTAGCTTTTTTATTTAATATTAGCCCAAGCTAATACAGTAAAACTAATAGAATGACAGAGTTAATCTTAGAAACATCCTACTTATTTAAAATATTAAGACATTTTAGGCCTTAAATCAATTATATCAAATTTATAAATATTAGTAACTAGGCCTAGAATTTAGATCTAAATGAGAAAGACATTCATGGTTTATGCCTTTTTATGAATACTTTTCTAGCAAGCTCTCTAGTTGGGAGTAACCCCATGAAAAGAGCTGCATGTACAACTGTAGTCTTTACTTAAGTTTAAAAAGGGTTTGTTTTTTTTTTTTGCTTAATCCTTATCCAACTGAATGTTAATAACTTCATGTATTAGTTGCTTTTACATGATACTTTCCTGTTTTAGGTTAGGCACTTTGCATATTATACTAATTTTTTAAGTGTTAAGACCTAGATAAATTTTGCTTTCTAGATTATGGACGACCACGTAGACAGAGAGAGCCAGGCAGCAATGGAGGAAAATCACAAGAACTTTCCCAAAATTCAAGACAGATTCCTCGGTCTAATAGAAATTTTAGTGACAAGAGGCCGAGACCGAGAGACAGTTTTAATGATAGACAAAGTGAAGAGGTAGGTTTTTTATTTGGTTAATAATTGAAGATTAAAACAATGATTAAGCCTGTATTACTCATGTGTAATTAACCTTTGTAATTTGCAGGTAGCTGAAGTTGTTGACATTTTTGATGTAACCAACACAAGCTCTCGTAAGGGCAATGCAAATCATTTGCTAAAATTCTCCTATGGTACGCGCAGTGAGTTAGGAAACTATGATAACTGGAGATATAACGGGGGCAGATCTGGCAATGGGCGACGTTTTTTCAAAAAGACACCGGCTGTACGCTACAGCAAAGAACAGTTTTTGCAAGCTAGGTATTCACATTTTAAAAGTTATCAAGTACTGCATATAAAAATTTTCACACCTGATTTATACAAATATGTGTTAAGTAGGTGTAACTATAATGAGCAGTTGTTTTTAATTTAATAAAAAAAAATTCACATTTTTTAACCATTTCCTATATCTTTTTGAGAACTAAAAATTTCATACTTTTTTTTTGACAGTTGTCAGTTTGTTGTTCGAGAAGATGGGGAATATTCTGAGCAAGCCATAGATCCAGATGCGTTAGTTAACTGGGACAAGGTAGAATTAGTGAGGACATTTTCAACAGAAACTGTAACTTGTCCTATTTGTCTTCAAGTTCCGTTTGCTGGTATGTCAATAGAATCATTCTAAAAACTGCTTTGTTATCTAAATTAAATTTGTTGCCCTTAAATATACATTTTGCATATGTCAACTTATATTGGAAATTATGAAGTTAATATAGAAAATATAGTACTGCTATTCTCAATGCTGGTGTGTATTAAAATTTGTTTTTAAACTAGGTAAGATAACAAAATGTGGGCATACTTACTGTTGGGCCTGTATACTGCACCATCTTGATGAAGCAGACAATGGAGGACAAAATAAATGCCCTGTTTGTCCCAACAGAATATCACCAGATGAGCTAAGAAGGTATTTATTTTATAACTATGTCTAACAGTTAGAAAGTGAGTTATTAATAGTGGATGAGAAGTATGAAAACCTGTCAAAAGCTACATAAAATTATGGTTATTGTGTGTAAAAAGCCTACAATTTTTTTTTAAATGTGTGTTTTTGTTACAGTGTACAATGTATTGAGGTACCTGAATATAAGGTGGGTGATGAGATTGAGATGAGATTGATGCGCAAGAGCAAGGGTAGTGTGTATACATCACCAAAAGCCAACTGGAGAGAAAGATGTGGTATTCCTCATAATATTAATGGTAGGTTAAAATAATTTGCTGCAACTGAACATGCATACGATACTGTGCATTTAGAATAAAATGTATTCATTAAAATTGCTTTTTTTGTATAACTTATACAGAATTATATTTCAGATGGCGATGTTACCAATTTTATGAAGCTGTTATTGGCTACTAAAGATCAGGTACAGAATCAGGTAATAGATTTTGAGAAAGCTTCACTTGCAGCACATCTCCTAGATGCTGAAGATTATGAAGTTTGCTACATAGATATGGCCAAGAACATGCTGGAGGTAATTAGGGTCTTTAGGTTTAGTAAGCAATCAATTTAGCTAAGTAAAATAGATGGTATCCATTTTTTTTCAAAGAGGAGGTAGATGCTCTGTGTTGTGTATATATATTTTTTTAGTTAAAAATTTAGATAACATTATTTGAATACAATCAAATTAAAATAGATTCTTTGACTTTCAGAAGCGTGAAAATAAATTAAAAGCTACAGTCTCGTTTGATACATCCACTATTGACATTGAAAAGTCAGCTACAATACCTGACAGTACTCCTCTTGCAGCAGGCATTTCATTTGATGGTACTAAAGTGAGTATTTCCTTTGCTGTTAGTAAAATAATAGCCTATCTCAAAGTTGTTTCATATTTCATGTGGGTTTAGGGATATTTCTTTTTATCACTGCATAGATGTGTTAAAGTCTTAGTAAGAGTTTTTTTTTAACATAAGTTCATTTTTCTTTGTAAAGATTGCTATACAGTATGCAGATGCATTTGAAAATGTAGAACAGCAAACAACTACAGAAGAATCTACCAACACAGAAACCCCAGACCCCAATGATTCATTGACTCCTAAAGCCTTTTCTGAAAAGGGCCCTAACTCAGAAACAATCAAACCTGAACTGTCATCTTTAGCCCTTAGTCAAGGGATAGATAACTCTCAGCTGTTGACACCAGAGGAAGCTGCTGATTATTTAGAATTGCCAGAGAGTGGAAATGCTGTTCAACAAAATGTTATGAACCGTTCCAAGGATACTTATTATTTTTATCAAGGTAAGATGTTGGAGATGATCATGGATTATTGTTGGGGATGGCATTTTATTACCTTTTGTTAAATGTCAGTTACATCTCGTAAAGTATATTAACAATATTTTGATATTAACCAGCAAAAACCATAGCTGTAGAAAATGTGCATTATTAAATAGATCTTGGAGAAAAAATTCAATTTTTTTTGCAGAAAATTCTATAATTAAATATCCAAATCAATTACACGACACCAATTTGCAAAACATGATAGAATGGAATAGAGGCTAAAACTGGCCAATTTTTTACTGAATGATCAATTCTGTGCAATTTTTTTTAGCTGCAAAAAAGTTATTTTTTTAATACTAAAACACAGCAGTATATTAGAGCTTAAATTAACTTTTTCAGTGATATCATTGATTTGTATTAACTTGCACTAATAAACATCTTGAGCAGTTTAGGGTACCTAATGAAATGTGGTTATTTTCAGATAAGAGGTAATGTTAACATCATTGACAAACTTTACAACATAAATATTTTTGTCCTATTTAGCATCCACTGGACAACAGATTTACCTGAATTCACTGAATGCCCAATGCTTAACCAAGGAGTATGGTAGCCTTGAAAATAGCCCAGAAGTAATCAAAGCTAGTATTGTTGCTATTGAACGTATATTTATGACAGAAGTAAGTTGTATATTCTAACATTAACTTTTCTTGATGTTTTATTTATTATGAATGAATCATGTTTTTGCTTGATTGCTCTAAAAAGTAATCTGCTAGAATAAAAATAAGATGTTTAAAATGTGATAATTATTCCCTTGTTATACCATTCTTAGGATATATGTAACCATGTTAAATGTTTTTTTTCTTAGGATATCCGCAAACGTCTTAGGTATCTAAATCATATCCCTTTGACATGTGAATTTCATGTGGTGGAGCTTAAAATCCTACCACCAATCATAAGTAAAAGCACTCTAAGACACTTTCAGCGTAAGTAAAAATATTTCTAACAGGATTATTTGTAAAATACTTAAAATTACAAATTAATTTTACATTTTTACACTCGCTTATAAGTATTTTGTAATTGATAATTCAAATTAGATTATTTCCTTTCATAGCTGAATTTGAAAAACGGCGAAGAGCTAGACAGAAAAAACAAAAAGATGATAAAATGAGAGCAAAGCAACAAGAAGTTGAACATAAAAAGTCTTTTGGGATTTGTAAGTACTTTTTTTTTTATCTGAATTGGTGCCGGATGCATTAAATAGTTTAGGTGCATTTGGGTGTCAGATATTATTTCTTGTATTGACCTAATTAGAAATACTCAAAAATGAATGATTTAAAAATGTATCTTCATCTATGAGCAATATAAACAATAAATATTGTGTTTAAATTAAAGCACACAAAAAGGTAGCTTGAGCACACCTACTTATCACATGCATTTTAAAAATTCAGTCCCTGAAGTTGAGATTCCACTGGACAACTTGACCCAGTTTCCATCTCCTTTATCAAGTTACCACAGTGAAGAGGTTTTATCCAGTCCTGCAGCTGTTGGTGGTGTCACAAGACCACAGGTGGATGAGACCTGTGGAGGAGAAATCAAACCTGGAGGTTGGTTCTCTTAATTACACTAACATGTAGCTTAATTATCTTGACTGGTGACCACAGTATACATGATTGCATGCTCAGCACTGTTTGTTCTCAGCCACCTTTACTATCTCAAACCTGAGTCTGATGCTAAGCATAACTGGTTGTTTTTAGAGATGACTTGAGCTCAGGAAAAAGCTGGTGACTGCACAGGGTTCGTACGCAGTCTGGAATTTAGACATTTTTTGGGCAGGATTTTTCAAGTCTGGAAACAAAACTTTTCCACTAAGTCCATATTTTCCGACTCACAAAATGGAATTTCTTTGGTTAATTTTCTCCAGTTATGGCATTTTCCGCTGGTCCTCAGAAGAAACCAGATCACTCATTTACTATGTCATTGTTAGTGGAAGGTAGAGGGGACTGTTAGGCTTTTTTCTTTTTTTGCTTGACTGACCGTGTGAATGTGTTTCAGGTGTTTAAAAATTATTTAATGAAAGAAAGATTGAGCATGGAAATGTTGACCTCGATTTTTACCCTCTATTTCATTAAATTATTGGGAGGCATGTAGTCTAGGTATAATTTATCTACCTGTATTTTTAATTCACCTTTTGTTAAACTTAAACTATCACCTCTACTATTTTCTCCTGCTGTCCATTTAACTATTTTGGAACCTCAAATTAATTTTGAAATCTCTGTAAATGCTGCTGATTTAATGTTGGAAACAAAATAGTTTCATGATTATCATTCTAATAGTTTAAACTTTAGGAGGCAGTATAGAAATGACAGTACAAATGATAGTACTAATGTTTCATCATTTATATAAATGAGTTGCTAAAACACTATATAAAATCTGGACTTTTTAACCAAAATAGAAGCCTGGAATATCACTTAGAAAAATTGTGCAAACCCTCCTGCAATTGTCTGGGTAATAATTGTGATATAGTTGACTAGCCTGTGTATATTTTTCCTTCAGCAGGTCCATGGGGAAACAGAACACGAACTGACAGTGAAGGAAGTCAGACTGGTTCAGGGACTATGTCTTTTGCAGCTGTAAGTTCTAGTTTTAAAAACATTAGCAATAAAATTATTTTACACTTTTCTTGTTTTAATATTTCTAATGTTTTATTTTGTTCTAGATGCTGAAAGAGGGTAAATCTGTACCCCAAACCAGTGTATGGGGACGTGGGTCATCCCAACATAGCCCCACTCTTACTTCATCTGCCACCATGCCAGAGCTGAGGTCACCAACAGGTCATTATGGTATAATTGATGAAGATGAAGATGCTGAATATCTTCCTGCCCCACCCATTGCTGCATCTTGGTTTGATGACATAAGTAGAGCCATGGATGCCCATATTGTGGAGAGACATTCTAAAGGTAAGCTAAATACTTTTCATATCTAATGTTCTATAAATTGCTTTGATTTTATTAGAAATACAAGTAATAAGATGTTTTTCTTACAGAGGATGGTCCTTCTCCTAGCAGCAGTGGTGGGAAAAAGAAAAAGAAGAAAGAAAAGCAACTGCTTTTTTCAACAACGATGGCACGTAAAAAGTAAAGAGAGAATTGATTTTAAACAAAACCCCTAATGTGAATATTACTATCATATTTTACATTGGATTTTCTGTTCATTCTGTTTTGTTTTTTAAATTGTTATTCTGATTTTAGAAATTACTTAAGTAATGCTTATGAATTACCACCCCCCATTAAGATTTTTTATTTTAATTAGTTATTTTTTACAAATATAACTTAGCGATAACCTTGTGTGGAATAATCATAATTTTTCTAAGTTTTCAAATTTGTTAAGAATCAGCATACAATAAAAGATGTGTGTACTAAAGGTGAATGTTCACAATTTTTTGTGTAAATCGACCTGAGTACAATATATAATTGTAATGTGATACCTTTATTTCAGGCTTGTTACTTTATAATGGCATTGCAAAACATACTACTTGATGAGTAGTTTCATTTGCTGTAGTTAAGTACTAGTAAGAATGATGTGAAGTTTTAAACTAAATAGAACTGTCTTTCATACTGAGCCAACTGGAGTTTTTTTTGTGTATATAACCACAGGCAAACACTGCTGTCCCAGGATATATGTAAATAAATGCAGTTTTTCAAGATCATTTGGTTTATTTTTATTCACTGAGTAAGCATTTTGGTTTACTTTTAAAGAAAGAAGTTGTATATCTAGTTTGTTTTAAAGATATTTTCTTAAGTCACATTTGTTCAATTCCTGTTTAATTTAATGCATTGATTAAACATTGAATATATATATATATAAATATTTAGAGCAACTTTCAGTTAAAATTGTGTTTTGTGGCATTAACACTACTCTGATTTAAGAATTTTTTTCAGTTGTGTACTTCCTTACATTGCATTAGTTGTGTTGCATTAATCATAGTATTTTTCTATTTTATACCAGCTTGATATATTAATTACTGCCCATTTTTAGTATATGAGGACAGTCTTAATAGTTTTCAATTTGATGGTGTTGGAAATAAAGTACCCACAATACACTTTTTTTGTTTGGTTGTTTTATCATGATTTGTAAACAGGTACTTGTAAACAGGTACAGTAGTCACTACTCAATCAAGTGAAATATTATGGTACTAAATAAATTTTGAATATATTGCTGCTAGTGCTAAATGTAACTTTCAGTTACAAGTAGTAGACAAATATTAATCCATAAAACCGATGATGTGAATTACTATTACATTCTCTAACCAGTACTGGAGTGTTGCCCATAGTTTAAGTATGATTTGGGTTGTGAAAATAGGTTTCTTCAAATAAGGGAAATAGCTAATTTTAATAGGCATTCTTAGAGTTGTGTCCCTTGAGCCGGTTCTAGTTAAAAGGTGAATTTCTATTCAACTTAACATTTGTAGAACGAATTATGTGGACACATACGGATTTAGAAAAACTCATTTAATTAAAAATTTTGAAGCATGACAGCTTTCTGTGCGGCGCCCCCCTCCCCCCCCCCCCCAAAAAATATCTGAAAGAAACACTGATCCGATATCAAAGCAGCACATGATTGGGGTCATCCATGAGCGATGTCCACACTTTTTGACGATTGTTACCACTGCCCTCTTCATCATCACAAACACACCACTACCCCCTTTCCCCCCCCCCCCCCCCCTTAAAATGACCCATACCTCAGCCGTAAATCATCAAGACTGCAGTTTTATTTTGTTTTTTAAACCATGGAATTCTTAAGTCAAATAATTAATCCTTTTCATTTACTATTTACAGAATTTTTTTTTCTAGCATTACTTTTTAAAATGTTTAAGTGAGTCCTCACATTCTGAGTATCTCCCCTCGTCACAAAATTACATACCCTTGCCACTTTATGAGTGTGACGTCTGTAATGACGGCACCACTCCCCTGTAAAAGTGAACTACTATCATTACAAACCTCCTGCTTCAGAAACAGTGTTTCTTCCAGACTTTTTTCTCCGGGGGGGGGGGGGGGGGCACTTAAAAGTATGTATTATTTTCTACATAAATTCCATTTCGTTCGGAAGAGATGTCTTGAAGAAACTCTGGAAGCAGATGAACTCTACTTCATCTATTATTTTTGCATCTACCTTACAATCAACTTTCAAGCATGGTCTCTAAACTTCAGACATCAACTATTTGCGCTCACCTAGTAGATCTATAGCAATTTATTTTTAACATATTAATAATTAAAACCAAGACATTTTGAGGTTAGAACACTAGATATCAGCCTATATACATTTCTCACAACGTAACAGGTCTTTTCTAATTAGCTAATTATCATAATTGATAGGCCTATTATTCATACGACCGACAACATGTTGATGGAGGGGTAGCTTGTATAATTGTATTTATTCTGGGAAATTCCCACCTCGTGTATATAATATATGCATCTATTTTGATGCATTTTCGAATGAGGTTAATGCATTATTCAATGTACATGTTGTCTATTTAAACAATATCTTTATTGGAATAATACATCGATAGGGCTATTATTAAAACTTTTATTAATACAGTTTCTAGCTTTTTTTAAAAAAACTATCTGTGTCGGGTATAGATACTACATTACAGCGGCGTTACTAGGTCGGGTGTCACCTCATCCAACCCCTACTAGATGTAAGCAGTGTTTCTTCTAGACATTTTCTCGTGGGGGGGGGGGAATGGCGGCACTTGAAATCCACACACTAGGAGAGATACCTGAAAGAAACAAAATTCAGATGGTGACACACTGTAACGTCCGCCTCTACCCACATCCCCCACCCGTAACGCTACTGTTACTAGTATTTTAATTTTACCCTGTCAAACTGAATATGTACGGTCCAATCATGCCTATTGTATTTATTAATGCTTAGTTACAAAACGCTTACTTGCAACTAGGCCTAGTAGACTGATATACGGGTTTGTTGAGTCCATTTTGAACTCATACCTATATGTGTATGTATCTATTGAATGTCTGTAATAATAGTCCTATACACAAGGCCCTATCATTAATTGAAATGGCGGACTTCAATTTTCTTATTTTTACTGTATTTAAAAACGTTGTTATTATAAAGCAAATTTAAATTTTTTGTTTTATTTAAAATAGATAAATAATTGCAGTGCATCGTGACATTTAGATAAATGAAAAACAGACTCACCCATCTATCATTTCCTCGGTCATAGCATATTTTTTTTTAAATTTTAAATAAATATTTTCGCCTGTCCGTATTTATTAAAACCAGGGAAATGTCACTCTGAGAGGAATGAAAACAAATAATAATCCACGACATACCTTTAATTTGTTTGATTTATAAACATAACCAGAGGTTAATTAATGCGATATTATTTTTTAAAATCGTTGTCTTAAAACAACATGGTCAGGGCCGTTGAATGGCTTACTTCAAACATAATAAAAACAATTTTTTTAAAAGTTAAATACAATTCTTTATTTTTAATTAATAAAGTTATAAAGAAAATACATACGTTAATTAATGCTTCGAGCATTTATTTTTAAAGAACATAATTAATTAGCGTGCTAATACTTTGTTAATGGTGATGCTCTTTGGAAGGTGCTTCCAAGTTTAAAGTATAATACGAATTTCTAAAGAGGTATAAATACCGTTTCTATGAGTCTCCGTGCTGGGTACGGTAAAACGCATGGCTGCTAAACGGAGAAGTCCCGAGTTCAAACCCACGGACAGATGAGGCTCGATAGCTGGTAACAGCAACTCATCTAGGAGAGACAACTCTAAACTAAAACAACGGCTGCCTAGTAATTTGTTCTTGGGTGGACAAAGGTTATGGAAGCAAATTCATAAAGAAAATCAGGCTGAAATTAGAGTCAACGGTCTAAATGGCGCTTAACGAATTGACACGGTACACTTTATTGTGTTGGAGGAAATCACATCCAACATTACAACTAAGGACGAAGAAGAAGAATACCGGTTCTAAAATGGTAAGAGTGTGTAAAATAGTACCGCAGCTGTGTCACATGACGGGGGCGTGGTCGGCTAATACTTATTTGGAGCTGACACCAAATTAAACAATTGCAGTTGTGCTGATAATAGGATATTTTGCCACTAATAGTAAAAGGGTAGATGAAGATTGTGGGATAGGGCAGAGGCGTAGCGACCCTTCCCGGCGCCCGGGGACAAACTTTCAATTTGGCGCCCCCCCCCCCCTCCGGGAGCAAATTTTGAATTTGCACCCCTCCCCCCTCAAACTTTCGATTTGCACCCCCCCCCCCCCGAAAACTTTCGATTTGCCCCGCCCCCCCCCCCTCAAACTATTAATAATGCAAAAATGCAGCTAAAATGACATTTTAATTTGTTTTTACAACCCATTTTGGCGCCCCCTAAGATCGGCGCCCGGGGACATATGTACCCCCCTGCCCCCCCATCGCTACGCCTCTGGGATAGGGCGAATGACAATCTCGGTTTATACACTGAGTGACGCCACTGACTGAGTGACGCCCGACCAAATGACGCCACTGAGGTACCGTAAGTAAAGGACCCGGAGTTTTCCCGAAAGACACTACGGACAGTTGCCCGAACGGACACTTGGCCGAATGGACATTTGGCCGAATGTGGCAGATGCCCGAATAGACAGTTGTCCAATTGCGACAAATGTTATTTTATCAAACTTTTAATAAAGAAAAACATAACGTATTTATATTTATAAACGTATAATAGTTTTTTTTACAAATGCAATACATCCCCTCTCGCATAAAACCATGAGTTTTATCTGTATTGTTCATTGATAGTGAACTACCACACACATAAATACACACTCTAACGAACACATACACACACACTCACGAATACACACACACCCGGAGACACACATACACACTAACGAACACACACATACACTCACTGACGCACACACACACGGGGACACACACACACACATATCCAATTTAATCCGGTTTAAACTGTCCACATCCAGAGCTTGATTTTTAAATCCCAAAAAAATGTAGACCATCAAACTATGGTCCACTTGTGCGACAGCGTTAAGCCTTGTCCTACAACAAGACCGTATGACACCAACGACACCTCCCCCGCAACACCATACCCAGCAGTCGGGCTTGTGGTGAACCGATGTCATCAGATTTCACACCGCCCCAGCGGTTCTAAAACTGTTGGGCTTTGTCACAAAAACTGCTAGATTTTGCCAGACCGCCCTTAGCGGTTCTAAAACTGTTGGGCATTGTCACATCGCCCCAGTGGTTCTAAAACTGTTAGGCTTTGTCACAAAAACTGCTAGATTTTGCCAGACCGCCCCAACCGGTTCTAAAACTGTTGGGCATTGTCACACCGCCCCAGTGGTTCTAAAAATGTTGGGTTTTGTCACACAGCCCCAGTGGTTCTAAATCTGTTAGGCTTTGTCACACAGCCCCCAGCGGTTCTAAAACTGTTGGGCATTGTCACATCGCCCCAGTGGTTCTAAAACTGTTAGGCTTTGTCACACCGCCCCAGTGGTTCTAAAACTGTTGGGCTTTCTCACACCGCCCCAGTGGTTCTAAAACTGTTGGGCTTTCTCACACCGCCCCAGTGGTTCTAAAACTGTTGGGCTTTCTCACACCGCCCCAGTGGTTCTAAAACTGTTGGGCTTTCTCACACCGCCCCAGTGGTTCTAAAACTGTTGGGCTTTCTCACACCGCCCCAGTGGTTCTAAAACTGTTGGGCTTTCTCACACCGCCCCAGCGGTTCTAAAACTACTACGCTTTGTCACAAAAACTGGTAGATTTTGCCAGACGGTGCAGTGGATCTAAAACTGCTAGGCTTTGCGCTCTAGTGGTTCTAAAACTGTTAGGCTTTGCACCCCAGTGGTTCTAAAACTGCAATACTTTGTCACATCGTGCCATTGATTCTAAAACTGCTAGGCTTTGTACGCGGTGTCCTGGGGTTATGAAACCTGCTCCTAGGTTATTGAGGGATGTGAACGTGAAGGATTAACCATGACAATATGCTCGCAATGTAACAACAGTAGCCTGAATCATTTCTACTGCCCCATTCCTCCGTATGCATCCCCTC